ACCCACACCCACACCCCACACCCACACCCGCACCCTTGATTCATTTTTTTGTCATTATTATGCATTCATTCACATTTTTGTTCTTCTTTCGTCTTAAATGGAAGTGTTTTTACAAGTAACGCTTGCCGATGCGGCTCGCTTAACCCTCGACTGAATTCGATGTAATCATTATCTGTCACTGTCTGTTGGATTCTGTTTTGAGAACTATGCTGAATATGCATGCTCGCATACATACAAGGTGCCCAAAAAGTCGTGTCCACTTAAGAAAATTGAACGTCATCTCGGTAACGTTGCAAAAGAGGGAAAGGCAAAAGAGCGGAGGAAAAATAGCGAAAAATGGAAAGCGCGAAATTACAAAATAGCGAATGGTTAAAATGGCGAACAGCAAATGAGCGAAAAGCAAAAAGAGCAAACGCATTTAATAGGGAAAAATAATAGCGAACAGTATAACAGCCAGAGACCGAAACGGGGCGGGCCTCCGGGGCGAGAAGCGTTTTTCTCGGGGTCGGAGCGATCCGGGCAGACATTTCGGCGGGGCGAGGCGAGGAAAATTTTGATGGGGCGAAAACAGACGAGGCGAAGCGAGGAAAATTTCGACGGGGGGATGCGTGACGGGAAGAAACTACGTCGGGGCGAAGCGAGGCGGTGTTTGAAATATACACTCGATGTTTGTAGATGATAAACTTGACAGTATAAATTTCTTATTTATAAGCAATGTATGTTCCCTCTACTGAAAGGAGGGTCATACACCGAGCAAGGTTCGTATGTTCGTGACTCCGTCCGTTCGTTCGTTCGCACAGAACGAAAAAATGTTTTTTTGACCTCTCACAACATCGTTTTTATAAGGGTTGACCGGAGGGTAATCGGGGTCGAGGAACTCGAATCTGATGTTAGTTTTTTGAAATTTTTTTCGGATCGATTTTTTTTACACAAAGGATCACTTTTTTTACCAAAAAAAATTTTTTATAAGGGTTGACCGAAGGGTAATCGGGGTCGAGGAACTCGAATCTGATGTTAGTTTTTTGAAATTTTTTTCGGGTCAATTTTTTTACACAAAGAATCACTTTTTTTTACAAAAAATTGTTTTTTATAAGGGTTGACCGAAGGGTAATCAGGGTCGAGGAACTCGAATCTGATGTTAATTTTTTGAAATTTTTTTCGGATCGATTTTTTTTTACACAAAGGATCACTTTTTTTACGAAAAAAATTTTTTTATAAGGGTTGACCGAAGGGTAATCAGGGTCGAGGAACTCGAATCTGATGTTAGTTTTTTGAAGTTTTTTTCTGATCGATTGTTTTACACAAAGAATCACTTTTTTGCAAAAATTTTTTTTTTATAAGGGTTGACCGAACTGGGGGTAATCGGGATCGGGGAATTCGAATCTGATGTTAGGTTTTTGGAATTTTTTTCGGGTCGATTTTTTTACACAAAGGGCCACTTTTTTTTTTACAAAAAATTTTTTTTTATATGGGCTGACCGGAGGGTGATCGGGGTCGAGGAACTCGAATCTGATGTTAATTTTTTGAAATTTTTTTTTGGATCGATGTTTCTACACAAAGAATCACTTTTTTTGCTAAAAATAATTTTTTTTATAAAGCTTGGTCAAAGGTAATCGAGGTCGAGGAACTCGAATCTGAGGTCAGTTTTTTGAAATTATTTTGTGGATCATTCTTTTAAACAAAGGGCTACTTTTTTTTACAAAAAAGAATTTTTATTCCCTTTCTCGTAAAGAAGAGTCTAGCAAAAATAAATTGTTTGATTGCTTGTATGTTCGCACTTTTTGAAATTGTACAAGTAAATGGTTTGTTGATAGTTCAGAAACACCATTTCTAGGAGAAAGAGCTGAGCGAGTCCCCGGACGAGCGTTACTTTTATACCAATGAGATTTTGTGAGTTCGGAGTTGCACCAATTTAAGGTTTCCAGTTCGGTGTGGATGTGAGGGTGTGAGTGGATGCGAGTGGGTTTGAGGGTGAATGGGTGTGGGTGAGGGTGTGAGTGTGGGTGTAGGTGTCAGTGGGGTATGATGCAGGGTGTGGTTTTGATGGGGTGTGGTTTTGATGGAGTGTGGTTGTGGTGAGTGTGGGTGTATATATGGGTGTGGGTGGCTGTGGATGTGAGTGTGCGGGTCTGTGTGTGCGTGAGTGTGGGTGTAGATGTTGGGTACGTTTGGATGGGTTGGGGTGTGGGTGTGTGTTTGGACTTGGGATTAAATGAAACGTGTTCTTATGCATCCCACAGCGAGGCCCACACTGATCCTGCACCTATATGCTCCTTATATGTTTTGCAACTGAAAGTTTAGATTTGAGGATGGTTGGAAAACCTATTGAGGCAGTATTCTTCGATATTTTCTGGAATTTTTAGTGGGGTGTGGTAGCTAATGCTACTATGCTTGTTGTTTATGGAAGTTTATTTAATGAAATGAGGGTCGTTCGATTACCTTTAGTTCTCGATATAGTTTGTCGGTTTATTACGACGAGGTCCCATGAAAGTGCACTGCGAGTATTAGCGGCGATGTTGGTAAGAAAACTATGTTGTCATTACTGGTCCTTTCTGAAATCCGTACTTAAGAAAGTTTTCTGATATGGCGCGTGTGAAATGTAGCTTTTGTTGTAGTGTATAGCTGTCAAATGCTGCTTGGGATTCGGATTGAATGCGCAAGCAATAGTGACTTCCTACGGATACAGCGGGTTTACACTGTTCAAATTCTTTTCATTCTCTTTTATCTTGATGGCTTTTATTTCAAATAGAGTTTCATAGAGGTTTTACAAATGATCTAATGGCTATAATTGTATAACGGACAGATTTCGAGCATGCAATATAGAGTTTTTTTTTATCAGTTAGATGGTTTGCCTGAAGATCACGCACTCTTGGGATGTTGTTGTTTTAAACAATGAATTGAAAACGTTTTCGAGTGCTTTGTGCTATTTTTTCTAATCTTTTAAGTTCTTCTATTTGGGCCGTTGATGGTTTAACTTGAAGTGTTCCAAATTCGAATGGGCGTATGATTAGTAAATCGTCAAGTCTCTTTACACGAGATAATGGAACATAAACCGATGCGAGTTCAATTGGGCCAGGCGGCATCACCAGATCGACGATAATTTTACCGAGTGTTTGGCCTTGGCTTTTATGTGTTGTCATGCTGTATGCGGGTATAAGCGGAAGTGCTTTACGTTTGACGGTGAGTTTTGTTGTTTTCTTGTTTATTTTGGCTGCTTTTGCTACATTTTCTGGAAGAAGTTCTTTGGCGTCGAACAAGAATGTTTGTTCACTAATAGCTATAGGAACTATTTTGGACTGCAGTTCAGCAAGTTTGTTATTAAGTTTGCAACCAGGAAATTCTACTAAAGCGTACTTTGGTTGCGTTATAAACTTGGTATTTGGTGGAAAATTCTTATCCTGGTATCGAACATCTTCTGGTGATTCATCGTATACAAGTTGACGAAAGATTCCACGTGTACCGTTGGAGAGTCCCAGTTCGGTAGCGATGTTTTCTGTGAGTAAAACTGGCATTCCTGGTACGAGAGGCAGATACCCTGGAAGATGTTCGGTTTTATTGTCAGGTAGTTCAAGTATGGTTTTACATAATCGTAGATCATCCACTGGTTTTCCTTGAATATAATCTTGAGCAATGCATACAATTGGGGTAAGTCCCATTTCCATTGTTTTGTTTAAGACAGCTCTATTATTAATTTGAGTGCGTAGCGTATTCCGAAAAACCAGTATTGGAGCCTATTGAAATAAAAGTAATGTGATACACAGAGAAAATGAATGTGCATACTTCGTTCCATGGCTTTTGTTGTAGAGATACTTGAAGTTTTGGATTTCCTATGACTCTCGTACACAGAAGTTGGTAATCTTCTATTGTCGATTGCCCATGTCTTAATCTATTTAAAAGCTCCAAATATCTTATGTCTTCGGTTCGCATTTGCTGAGTTAATTCAACAACGCAGTTTATTTCAGACATAAGTTTCTGTGCACACAACATATCTATCTGACGTTCTGTAATTTGCTGTGTTGATGCGCAGCTATAGTAGAGAGGCTTGTCTAAAACAGGAGAATATTGAAGATAGTCGCCAAAGAAAATGACATTGACACCACCAAAAGGTATCTCAGAATTTACGTGCTTGGCTGTTTTCACTATTCGATTGAGACGAGCTACTAGGCTAAGTCCTACCATACTCATCTCATCGATTATCAGGTACTTCACATGACGCCATTCATTTTCCAATTTCGTATCGCCAGGTCTAAATGTATGGGTATTTTTCTTTTTAGTGCTTTCGCGACTTTCACCTAAAAATGAATGGGTAGTTAATCCGTCAATCTCAGCTGCTGCTATAGACGTTGGCGCCAGTTTACGCAACATCTTGCCCCTCTTGGTTACTTGGAAATACTTGGTAATTGGACGAATTAACTGAGATTTTCCAGTACCACCGCAACCAGGTATGCACATTAATAACTGATTATCGATAGTACCTAAATATCAAGACTATTCAAAACTTTCAATAGCAAAATCAAGAAAATATACCGGTATAAGCATGATTTTCGCCATCTAAGTGACTAGTTATAATCATGAAAGCATATTTTTGCTGAGTATTTAGTGTAAATTGTTTGACAATATTCTGTTTTGTGGGAAATAAAACCAAATTGGTTGCAGTTACAGGTAAGACTCTCGTAGCTTTCGCTTTAATTGGGCTTGTTGGAATTTCAGCACCTACAACTTCAATCTGTGTTTCATCATCTCGTACTTCCAGAGTATCTTCACCTGAAATTAAATAGTTTCTTGTTTCGTTTCGTCGGGCTTCAATATCACGTTTCCACTCTTTAATCATGGTCGTATGATGCTCGCGAGCTACGACAAATGTGTGGACGTCGTGTATGATACCATAATTATTTTAACCCGGACAACGTGTACGGTCTAAATCAAACTAAATGTTTTCGAAATATGACAGTAATTAACTCACCATTGAGTAGTGCAAATCTGTATGTATTATCAATTGCTTATAATGCATCATGAACATAGCGTTGTTCTTGAGTAACTGTCAATGCAGAGTAAGCGTTTGTGGTGGTCTCATTTACGATGGAGAGCATTTGCAAAAGTTGTTCCGGATCATCTTCGTCTGCATTTTCATCACCTTCATAGTAGTTAGGCATCAGAATAGGGTCAATGTTGTTTTCATTTTGGGCTTCTAAAAGAACTTGATGAAGGTGCTCATCTCGATCGTGTTTGCATTCGTGGAAAAGTTCTATATTTTCTATAGTCTTAAGCAAGTTGAAAGAGATCAATAATCTTCGAGCTTCCAATGCTGCTGACCATGTCTCATTCAGTGCACAAAGGTTCTGGACTGATCGCCATGGCATGAATAATGTTAACAACGCGCGACAATAACGTTCATGTGTTTCTTCTCGTTCGCGGCGAGGTATTTGAGGACCTATTAGAACTGGTACTACTGGAATGGAACGTTTAATTATGAGATGAGATGTTGATTGTGGATGTACGCTGTCAAATGTATGACGTTCATTCATTTTCGTTCCTTCTGTAGGTAATTGTTGGCCCTGAGGATCGGTTACATTCTTTAGTAAATGACGATCCGATTTATCGATAACCTTCTTGTGAAAATGGCTCACAAAGTCATGTAAACACAATGCACTAAGATCCTTTGATCGATGCTGATAATCAAGACGAGTATTGACCAAGACATACTGATCGCCGTTGTTGGTTTTTGTGGGTTCTAATAAAAATTGTTCTTCGATTTCGTTTTTATTTTCTCCTTGTTCATCGTAGTAAGGCGTTGAAGTCTCTAGAAAACAACATGTTAAAAATCTATACAATTATTTTAAAAAGTTCTACCATCTATTCTCTCTTCAACAATTTCTTTTTCGTTAATTCGTGCTTTATTTAGTTCTGTTTGTAGATAGGTTTCGATTGAAATAAGAAAAAGATTTTTGAACGTATGTGTAGTGTAGTGGTCACCATAGTTCATCAGATATGATGCAACTTGAACACCTGAAACTTCTTGTTGTGAAGCAATCATATTGAAGCAGCGCAACACTAGTTTACGCGATTTGTCAACGATATTATCTGTGGTATTAGAAGTTCGTTCCTACTCAATAGATTTGATACCTTGTTGTGCAAGCGCAAACATATCGTGGAAGGCCAGAGTAGACATTGTTACATAATCAGTTATATAGTAGACTAATGCTTTGGCGTCGTTACCACTCCAGATGAATTTAATGTCCATGTTCGATCGGCACGCACTTAAAAACCATTCATTAAAGTTATTGATCCACGGATGTGATCGACGCATAGTTATCTGACCTGTTGTAAGGTCAATATTAGAAACATTCACTAGTGCGCGTGGCATGCCCATTCGACACCTTTTTGAACTATCATTTTTGCCTTTAGAATATTTATAGCAAGTTGCAGAATGCTTGTGAATATTGCAGGTTTCGACCAATTGAACTACATCTTTGCGAAAAAACGTTTGATCGAAGTCTTCCGATGCAGGATTTGGTGTTGGGAGACATGGTGGTATAACTTCACTTGCTGTCGATCCAATTTCTCCTAAGATGAAGTGAGAATTATAATTAAAGATCTACTAAAAGCTTCAAAGCTCACCAATTAATGTTCTACTGTCGCTAGTCGTACTTGCTCCGTCGTTGGTTTCATCTTAAAAAAGAATATTGATATTCAAAAGTACAAAAAATAGAAGTCTCATAAATATATAGTAAGAATAAGTGATCGGAATGAAATATGTTTTGCATTAATGAAAATTTTAAAAATGTTCTGAAAGCTCAAGTTCAAGGTAAGGCAGCGATGCACTATTAGGGTGTAAAACAGCATCAAGTAGGCAAATGTAACAACTTCAAATGACAGATTCGAACAATGTTAAATATATTACCTCGAAACGAATCTAAATCTTCTTTTATAATATCTTCTAAATATTTTAGTAAATTTTCACGAAAATCTTGATTTTGAATATTTTCTTTCAATTGTGCTGGAGTATATTCATGATTGAGCCAAATCAAGAGATGTAAATGGAGCGATCCTCTTCCTTGACTCTCTACAGTGCCGAAATACGCTTTTGCAGGACCAAGTACACCGCCCAATAGTAGGCTTTTCAAAATGCTTTTTATTAAACAGTTGAAGAACTTTGCAGTTGCAACAGGGTGCGTCGCGACAATTTGAGCACGCTCATAACTTGTACGCAGGACTTCTGGCAGAACGTTATCAAGATCGAGATCGACACCTCCAAAGTAAAGTGCCACTGGACTATGGATGTCAGCCGGATTGGTTGTGACGAAAAGGCTAGGAAGACCAAGATAAAAACATAAAGAATGAATTTTCGTACGAAGAGCTGATCGGGAATGAGCTGAACCCATGACGTGACCACCAATAATTTTGATGTGCTTCATCAACGTATTTATTCTCTCGTCAGTAACTTTTGAATAAGACGCTTTTGAGATATTAATAAGGGCTGCTGCTACATCTTCAGAACTCAATGAGTTAAGAACTTGTGCAGATTGTTGAAACCACGATCTTGTTGTCATTAATTGGGCATGGAAACATGCTGTTCGGCGTTGTAAAATATTGAAGACAACGAATATAAATGAATAGTGTTCTTCAAAGCGGCGATCTGCATACGAAAGAAGATATCTGAGATGCTCACGAAAATTGATTTGAATCGGTCGAGAACCATCCTCAAGCCCACCACATTCATATGGGAATAGGGTAGGAAAGATTTCTAATAAAAGATTTGGATTAGAATATTCATTGGCCGGTTTGTTGCCACGAGGAATTATGTATACAGTGTCTTGTTTAGAGTTTTGCTCGGTGTCTTTTCCGTGTGTTTTTTCTGGCACTTGTGCTTTGATTCGTTCTAAAAGATGTTCAGCAACTTCATCAGACGACGCTTTGGTACTATTGACATCTAACACAGCACTATAACATAAACAATATTAGTACCAAAATATCAACATGTCTCTTTGTCTTACCTTGAGATTATAGGTATAGCTGTTGTATTGTTAAATTCAGATGCATTGGTCAACGGATGAGGAAGGTAACTTGCTCTTTCATTTTCAGCTGCTTCTACATTAGTAGAAACTTCCATGGTTGCCCCTAAACACTCCGGTACATCATCTTCAGGTAATTTGCTGATTATTAATTGATTAATTGTAACATTACGATATAGAGCATTATTCTGTCTAAGCCTTTGAAGTGCTTCGAAAACTTTCTTTTTTCGAACGGTCAAAACATTTTTTAATTGGTTTCGTTGATGAGGACGACATCCAACAAAGATTATCTTTAGAGAATCACATAGATCATCTAAATCTAGTGGTAAGGTAGTCGCTAAGTTAATAACATCTTGGGGAAAACTTATGCAATTCCTTCTTAAAGCTGACTGAGCTGTACTTGTCGAATGAAAAGACGAATGTAACTTGACAATGCAGCCATTGTGCCGCTAAAGAGCGATCAGTTTTTCCTCATGAATTGTTAGTCCTTGTAGTTCTTCTGGGACATCTCCAGCCCATATTTTGTTGGCAGGCGAAAATTTCGGTACTTTCCCTTTTATTAGAGACGGCCAACACTCCGAACAAATGTCGCAGTGTATCGAATATCGTTTTTTTCTCTCAACAGTTTTATGCAATCCTGCTTCATAAAAAACGATACCGTTTACATAAGTAAACTCCTGTTTATTCATTGTTGATTGAGCATGCGTATCTATAATTAAAAAAATTATTTACTGTATTAGTTTACGTACTAGCGAGACTAACCTGCTGCTCTTTCTTTCTGAATCAACGCCTTGGCAAGATCACCACTCATGTTAAGCTTATCATGTGACTGGAATTGGTACGTTTCCTGCATTCCCGGAATTATGTCATAAAAATCGTTGGGTACTTTCAGTAATTCAATAGACGGTATTTTACTGAACGGTATATGGTAGAAATCACGTTTGTAGCAACGAACATTACAAATACCGCAAACACCTACTTGCAGATAACTCATCGACATATGTTGAATAAAGTTCTTTAAACAGTTTTTCTTACGTTCAATATCAATAGGTTTTGGCCATTCAAAGTCGTTACTTTCTTGTTGGTGCTTGTCGCTTTA